ACAAGGTCTGGTGATAGAGTCAGTGTAGCAAGGGGCTTGGAAGGAAGGAGTGCTAAAAGGGATAGAACTAAAGTCTGTTCAGGTGAAATAGGTCCACTTGACTCTCATAGAAACACAGCCCCAAGTTTAAACAGGAGGTCTCTACCTAATAACAGAGTTGGGCATGTAGGGATAATTAGAAAGGAATGGGTGAATACTCTTTTGTCAAAGATAATGAGCAAGGATTAAGTGCTAAGACGCTTGTTAAGGAGGTCATGAATCCCCATTACTGAGACCTGAGGAGGGAAAACAGGACCCAAGAAGGAGGGGAGCACTGAGAAGGTAGCCCCAATGTCAACCAGAAAGGAAACTGGCTTCCCTACTACCTGAAGGGTTACCTAGGTAGGGCTCAGCAAGGGTGATAGGAGTTGTTGAGCCTGGGCATCTTCAATGTTCAGGGACCAGGCCAAAGAAGTCAGCTGGGATGGGGGTCGGGTTTGGTGTAAAGGCTGCCTCACCTCAGCTAAGCATCGAAGGTCAGTCAGCCTTGCAATGGCCCAGTGTTCCACAGATAGGGCAAGGCCATGTCAGAGGGAGGGGGTTAGGACAGCAGTTGGCCCAATGGCTCTTTTTTGCCATGCACCAGGAGATAACTGGCTTGTTGTTGAATGAGGAGATGTTTTATGACCCCTCACTGCTGTTGGTCACAAGGCAGCTATCAAGGCTTGGGCTTGCAGATTCACTTTCTCATGGGTGCAAGTCTCCCTATCAACCTCTGCCTGTTCCTCATGGGCTTTGAAAACTTTAAAGGCCATGATTACCAGGCCTCAAATGGGTGTTTAGAAGTCATCCTCAGCCTTTTAAAAGTTTCTTTTTCATATCAGGGGCTGATTTGGTGATAAAATGAATAGCTAGGATGGTGGCCCCTGCTGGGGAAGTAAGGTCTAAGTGGGTATACAGTCAGGACTTTGGTGAGATGGTTAAGGAGGCAGCTGGGTTTTCATCCTTAGCTTGGGTTATCTCTCTGAGCTTATAGAAATTTACTGCTTTATGGGAGATGGCATGTAGGCTGGCCAACAGACACTGAATCATATGGTCATGCCTGACTCGTCCATTTCTTCCTGCTGCTGTATTAATTTGATATGTCCAATTTGGCTTTGCCAGGACCAACTTGGGACCAGCTTGGGGACCAACCAGCATGGAGCCATATGTTAAATGCACTTGGTCTGCGTGCTGCTGAGTGGCAGTGAGAACACACTCTTTTTCATCTTGTGTCAGAGTAGAAGACAGTACAACCAAAAGGTCATGCCAGGTAAAATCATAGGTCTGGGTCAGGCACCTAAACTCTTTGATAGAGGTTGTCAGGTCCTTTGAGAACTAGCCTAAATGTTTTTCAATTTGGGAAGGATCATATAGAGAGAAAAATACATGGACATTAAGGGGACCCTCAATGCATGCCTGCAACTTCCTGAAGAGGACAGAGGAGAGACTTAGTCTGGCTGGACTGGGTGTGGCTAGTAAACAGAGATGTGAGGGTGGGGGCAGTTGAGTCTGGGCTAGTTAGAGCAGAAGGGGTGGCAGGTTCCAGAGCACATGCTGGGTAGGGGAGAGGGGAAGGCTGAGAAAGGAAGTGTACAGGGTCTGAAAAAGCAGAGTCACCTGGAGGGGAAGAGGATGAGTCCTGAGAGGAAGTAAGGGAAGGGTATGATTTGTTATCAGGTGATTTAATTGGAAAAGGGGTTTGGGCTAAGAGAACTTGCACAGATTGGCAGGTCTTGCAAAGGGAGGGACAGGATCATAAGTAAAAGAAAGGTTGGACATATGGAATATCTGGCTGTTTCTGAGTTCATCAGTCAAAATTGTCAAGATCTCAAAGGGTATTAAAATGAAAGATTTTGTTTACAGGCTATTGAGAGTCATTATCTAGCTGGTGTTTCAGTTATGCCCAATTACAGTAAAAGATCAGTATCTTGGGGTGGCAGTCTTCAGCCAGGCCCAAGTGTGAAAGGTTCAAGAGGAGGCAGCCCAAGGAACTGTACCTTGGGGTTTTAGACATTTGGCTACCCATGGGGTTCTATGGGTGAGGCAACCAAGATTTCAGTGCATCCCTTTGAAACAGGAAGTCTCAGATATGGAGAGAGGCTAAGGATGACATTGGCTTCTCCTAGCACAATCAGTAGCCTGGGAAGAAGTGCCTGGCACTGCTTGGTATGAGTGGACCTCCTGATGCATCTGGGATTTTTCTGTGTATTTGCAGACAGGAGTCCAGTAACAGACATGAATTCCAAGGGAACTTAAAATGCCTGGAGTGAAAATGCCTAGGGATTGTTCTAAACAGTGCCTGGAAAATTTTATAAGCAAATGCACCTTTCTGAGGGAGAGAGAGAAGTCGTAAAAGAAGTCTGAAAGTGGAGAGGAAGAGGGAGGAAGTTAAAGGAAGGAGACACTACAGATGACCAGACACGAACACAAAATGGATAGAAATAGAAAACAGAGGATATGTCCCTCAATCCACACAGGAGTTCCTCCAGCAGTGCCCCTCATGGGGTAAAGTGTATCTTAGCATAGGCATATATATACCTGTATAAGCCCTGGTCCTGGTTGGAGTCCTTAGAGGATCACCCAAATAGCCATTAAGCCAGATGACAACAACATGGAACCATGGGTGGGAACTCAATCAAATGTGGCTTCAGAGTAGCATCAGCTGTGGAGTCTCTTCACAAGCACTCAAGATATTTAGTCAGCAGACATACGCACAGAATAGGGGAGGAAGGAAAAGGGCTGTATATTACTGTTTGAGCATTTTTGACACGGTGCTGACTGTTAGGTTCAAGAGAGAGTAAAAGGGCACCACACTTGTCTCAAAGATGGACAGGAATGCAACATACTTTAACTCATCTTGTGGGGCTTCAGCACCAGATATAAGCTCATAAGGTCACTAACTCAAGAGAGGGACCGGAATATAGGAAAGTTAAAGGCAACTTTATTAAGAAGCTCCCACACAAAGTTCCTTGGTATGGGGGTAGATGCCAAAGAAGTCAACACACTTGTCTTTCTTTATGTGCTGATATAGAAGGCAGCCTCATCTTCTGAAACTTCTTTGAGCTCAGAGTGGCTGCAGGTCTGTCTAACAGAATACACATCCCTAACTATCTGTCCTGTTGTTGTTGTGTACTGAGGAATCAGGACCAACTCATAGCTGAACCTCCAGCAGGTTTTTAGGGGCAGTATAATTGAGCCAGAGGAGATTTTCCATCTTTCTCCTGCAGAGGAGCTGGTAGATTTGAACCATGTGCCTTTGGTATGCAGCTCCTTACCACTAGGCCATCAGAGCTCCCTATGATTTGTCCTAAGGCTTTATAATTCTATGGCTCCTTCTTCCTTGGGGAGGGGTTGAGACCTTTGTTTCATTATGAGTTTACCTGGAAATTTTGCATATTAGATTAATGAATTTCACTAACAAATTTAACTAAGAGAGTCCAAAGAGTAAATAACATTATAACTGCCAACAGGCCAAGAAATGTGAGACTCCATGTGACTGAGGGGATGTAGCATTTTATCCATTTCAGATATTCCTGCAAGAATGGTGGAGTTCTTTAAACACTTTACTTGCTATTTTAGTTCCAGGGGTGATAGTAGGGCATACTAGGTCTGGTATAGTATTGTGTATCAAAGAAATGGCAATGAGAATTATTTAAATATAGTGATTTTTCTTCCTAGTGTTGAATAAATGTTAGTTGGATGAAACTATTAACTCTATAAAAGGCAAATAAAAATGTCAAAATTATAAACAACCATTTCTTTTTTCCTTAGGGAAGATTATTTCTGAGGTAATGATCCTTAGAGACTCTGTTTTAATAACTAGGTTATCAAAGTTTGTAATTAAAAAGAAAATGTAAATTATATTTTTTATCTTGGTAAGGGAAAGATGTTCTCTCCTCCTGGAACCAAGAGAGGAGTCTTTGGGTAAATTGGCAATTAAAAGTCATGTTAATCAGAGTAGAGTTACAATATAAATTACAGATTCTGATCCTTTGATCAGGACTGGGAGTGGGGAGTTCTGATTTCAAAGCTATCATCTAGTCACTAGGGACACATCTCTCTTCAGAATAATTATTACTGAGAGCATTGTACAACATTGAGGTTCTGAACAGCAAGAAGGTGAGGGCCTGCCTGATAAGTCAGACACCACAGTGGTTAGAAGCGTAAACTGTGGGAGTTGGAATGCCTATGTTCATGTTATGGCTACAGCTCAATAGTTTTGTCTATTTGGATTAGTAAATAATCTCAGTGAAATGGGAATAATAATATTACCACAAGCATATAGAACTTCTCACAGAAATTACTAAATAAGTGTTCACATTGTGATTTTTTTAAAAAAACTATAATCATTCAAGTAAGAGCTCTGAGAAAAACAAAGGAGCATTGATTCACTAATTCATTCTTAAACTCATTCTAGGAATTAATTGCACCTAGCTCCAACAAGAAAGGAGAGTTTTCTGATCCCATGCTCCTATATTCTCATGGAGTATAAATTTGATGGTGATAGAGAATGTCAACACAGTAGCTACTCTCAACCTCTGACAAGAACAGGTTTCTAAATTTCTAATTAGCCATCTTTTTTCTCCATCAAACAAAATCCAGAGGGGAAGCTCTGATGTGAATCACAGTGATTTCTGCTTGTCAGGGATCTTCAGAGAAGAGGTTCAAATTTCAGAAACTTAAAAAGAGAGACAAGAAGAAAGGCTCTTAAAAAGGTACTGACTTAAAAATTCAAAATTCATTTACTTTATTCTTGCTTCTGTCTCCCCAGCACCAGTAATTTCAAATTTGGGTGCAACAACCTTGATGCTCTAAAGACGAATTCATACCAAATAATAGGGACTTCTCTACACTAGTTTTAGTTTCTCTGAGGATTCTATACCCAAGAAATAGGGGCCAGATACTGGGAGGGTGGTGCTGATGTTTCTTTCTCTCTATGTAACTGTTTCTGTTGCCTTCACAGAGTACCTTTGAGGAGAATGGCAACCAAGAACAATTCTGTGACAGAGTTCATCCTTGCAGGCCTAACAGACCAGCCAGAACTCCAGACGCCCCTCTTCTTCCTGTTTCTCTGCTTGTATGTGGTCACTGTAGTGGGGAACCTGGGCTTGATAACTCTGATTGGGTTGAACTCTCATCTGCACACACCCATGTACTTTTTCCTCTTTAACCTCTCTTTGATAGACTTCTGTTACTCCACTACTATCACTCCTAAAATGCTGGTGAGTTTTATCTCAAAGAAGAACATCATATTGCATGGAGGGTGTATGACTCAACTTTTTTTCTTCTGTTTTTTTGTTATCTCTGAGTCCTTTATTCTATCAGCGATGGCATATGACCGTTATGTTGCCATCTGTAAACCATTATTGTACATGGTCACCATGTCTCCTCAGGTTTGTTTACTTCTTTTGTTTGGTGCCTATATAATGGGCTTTTGGGGATCCATGGCCCACACAGGAAGCCTCCTGAGTCTAACCTACTGTTCTGACAACCTTATCAATCATTTCATGTGTGACATCCTTCCTCTCCTGGAGCTGTCCTGCAACAGCACATATATCAATGAAATAGTGGTGTTTATTGTTGTGGCCATTGATATTGGAGTGCCGATTGTCACCATCTTCATCTCTTATGCTGTAATCCTCTCCAGCATTCTCCATATTCAATCCACTGAGGGAAGGTCCAAAGCTTTTAGTACATGTAGCTCCCACATAATTGTGGTTTCTCTTTTCTTTGGTTCAGGGGCTTTTATGTATCTGAAACCCCCTTCCATTTTGCCTCTTGACAAAGGGAAAATATCTTCCCTTTTCTACACCATTGTGGTGCCCATGCTAAATCCGTTAATCTATAGCTTGAGAAATAAGGATGTGAAAGTTGCTCTGAGGAAGACCTTGAGCAGAAAACCATTCTTTTGAGAAAGGGACATTAATTGAAGAAAGAGGATGAAATGTTGTTTAATTACTGTGCATGTGGTTCAACCATGTACCCAGGTTCTTGTGGAGAATTTCACATCTTAATTGTATTTAATGCAGATTTATTTTCTCTATCCATAACTGCACTTTAACTATTCCAAGTGGTCTTTATTTTATAAAAATTATTATAAAATCAAAGATCATTTAGTCTTTAATTGAACTTAAATATCATTTGGCCTAGCCTTTTTAATTTAAAAGATTATATTTTAGAAATGAAGGAATAGTATGTATTTTGTCAAGTGTCACACTGTTTGGTGTTATATGCAGGACTAGACTTCAGATCTTTGAATTGTAAATTACTTTGCTTTTACTTATTCCATGCTTACTTGTTACACTGGGTTATTGTGTATGCCTTCTTAAAAGTTTGATGATGTATTGTTTTATAATCTAATTCTATTTTTAATAATTTCACATACTGTCTCAAAACTAATTTTTGACTATTCATTTTCATTTTCAAGAGGGTAAGAGGAATATGTTTCTGAAGCTGATCTTGTACAAATGCTAAGTGTGAAGGTTGGCTTGTGAGTGAGGCTGTTATATTAGATATCACATGGTAGCCAGCAGGGTCATTCCTGACGTATTTTGTGGAACTCTAGGAATATTGTCAGGTATGTTAGTACTTTTATAGGTTTACAAGTTCTAAAAATGTCAGGTCATACATAGTTTAAGACAAAATGCAAAACTCAAATTCACTACCACAGAGTCAGGACTGGCGCATTGCTGGCCCTCCAGTGGGCTTCCAAGAATGTAAATTTCATGGAAGGCGATTTCCCATCTTTCTCCCATGGATCAAGTAGTAAGTTTGAATCTCCAGAGAAGACTAGTTGGAAGCATAACTCTCTAAGGACTGTGCTCCCAGAGCTTTCTATGTGTAAAACTGAAGTCAGGATATAGAGCATTTTCTTAAGGGTTAATTTGCATGTTTGAGCTTTGATTAATAAATTTTTGCCTCAGGGTAATCAAATAAGGCTCTGGAGATTTTAAAGAATTTCATAAACTGACAGATCTAGATATTGAGGTCCCTGCATAGTACAAATAGTTAATATGTTCAGCTTCTTACAGAAAGGTTGTATGTTCAAGCTCATTTAGAGGTGTCTCAGAAGCAATAATCAAGGATTATCATTTCCAATTCTATGCAGCACAGTTCTACTCTGAGATACAGGAAATCACAATTGTAATTGATGTAATTTGGTTTGGTTTAGTTAGTTATCAGGGCAGCACTAAGTAGGGGAAGCCATTTTCATTACATTTAAAGACACTACTGACAGCACTTCTCATATCTATGTATATGGAAAAGAACAAATTTGTCATAGGACTGGCTTATAATTATGCAACATCTTTAAAGTAAGTCCAGTTTTATACACTACATGGGAACATTTTGATCTTTATGATTATTTCATTGTTTGGGATCTTCTTAACTATGAGAAAAAACATTCAACTTTACTCCAAATAGTTTCTTTTGACCAAAAGTTTCCCTTGTTAAAAAATGGGTCTACCTAAGTTTCTGCAAAGAAAATATGTCTTGTACACATCTGGTAAGTCTACTCCTAAAATCTTCTCTTTAGAAGCTACCGTTTTTGTCTATGACTCATAAATCATCTTATGATTATTCAACTGTATGTGTCTGTCTTTATATATCATAGGAAGCCCTAGTCTATAGGGATTTGCACTGCTAACCCCCAACTTTTAATCCACTAGCTTCTCTCCTGTAGAAAGATGGACAGTTGCCTCCCATTGATAGTCTTGGAAACCCAATGAAAAGTCCTTGGGAATCCAATGAGTTGGTTCCAACTCAACAACCACGAGTTAAGCCGAGCTAAGTAGACAGTATATTTATCAATACTGATAATAAGCCTCCCTTGTTTTAAAGTTAATGTTAAGAATGATTCTTTTAGAAGAAGAAAGAACAGAGAACAAAGCAGTGGTAAAGACAAAAAGAAAAATAAGATAAAGCAGTGATTCTTCCTTGGACACATCCATATGTATTCCAACCCTGATATATAGATTAATATTTTAGTCTCCTGATCTATCCTCCTTCTATGGATGTCCCACCTCTACTTCTTTTTTATTTTTGCTGTGGTGAGCCAGAGTCTTGACAGCTGGGAGCACAAGGAGAACAGGTATTTTTAATGCAGCAGACATTTTTATCTAAATTTAGTTAACAAATGGTCTTTTCTTTCTGGTTCTATCCCCCCCCCCCCTTCCCAGGATAATGATGTTTTAGTTGCTGAGACTATTCAGAACATTATTTCAAACTGGTAAAATCCTGGGCAATCTGAGAAACATTAATGCAAAAGTGGCTACGTTCATAGATAAGTTTACATGGGACATACATGCATAAACATCTTTTTGTATATATTTTTTCCCTCAGTGTATGTGTAAAAGGGCCAAGATCATTGATCCTCAGGATAATTTATTTTATACATTACAGTGTACAGAACAAGAAAGAAAAGACACTTTGTCTGAAAGTGAAAGACATTGTGTAAAAGGTCCATTTCAATTTGAAATGAAAGGACCTAATTTACTGTTGCAAATTTAAAATGTGAAAAATAGATGGAAAAAAGAGTAATCATGCTGTAAAGTGGTCATCTGCACTTTTGATCACAGCTCCTCAGTCCTCTAGTAATATGCTAACATCCTGGCCTTTGCCTTGGTCTCATACAATAGAGTGTATTTATTGACCCTGTTGTTATTGAGCTCAGTAATGTGATTCATTTGGTCAATGGTATATTAGCAGATACGACATAAACAGATGCTCAAAATGAGCAGGATAAGGCTTGACCTCTTGTGCTTCTGCTACTTTGAGAAGAACTTCTGTTTCATGACTGTTGTCCCATCTGATTCTTACAATGACCACATGTGGAACGGATTTTGAAGCAGACTACCTGTGCCCAGACCAGATGAGCCGCCACAATCAACTTGTCGAGATAAGAATTAATGCTCATTATTGCATGCCAATGAGATTGTGAGGTTGTTATATTAGCTATTGCTGTATAACATGTTAACCATTCACAGATTAGAAAAGGTGCCTCTTATCTGTAGGATTTTCTTTTAATGGGATCTTACTCAATATATAATGTTATAAAACTCTTATTATTAGGCATTGTTTAACGTTATATATTTTATGGATTTTATAATTTAGATAGACAGCTTACATTTAAAAAATTATTTTGTCTAAATTTTTTTGGTATTGTTTTATTTTCTCAAGGCAGATTTTTGCTGTTTTCAATTAAAAATATTTTCCATAATTTATTTGATTCATTTCTTACATGGGCATGCATTATTTAATAGTTGATCAGTTTTTCCCCTCAGGTATATTTTTCATATTGTTTGCTAATTTAATTTTCTCATAATCAGAAGTACTCTGTAAAATTCTAAAACTTTTGCTTTTATATAAGTGAACTTCCTGTGTGAATGCAAAGAGCATAGTTTCTTGTTTACAGTATTATCTTCTCCTCAGAAAAGTATCCAAGAGGACCTGCTACTCTGGTCTTCCAGTCAGATTTCTAGTCAGGTTTCCATATGTCAAAGGAAAACTTTTTTTTTTCATTTTATTTTATTAATTTTTTTTTCTAGGACAATGAGATTTATTTAACACATTCAGTATTTCACATTGTACAAACCATTAGATTCTCTTTATTCACTGGTCCATTTCTACAACAAATACATCCAAAAACACTATATAATAAAATTATTTACAACATTTCCAAATGAGAAGATTGCTTTTGCCCCTTCTACAGCTATTCACACACAATACTTCCACATCATTAGAAGATTTAAAAATGCTCGCCCTGTATTCTAGGCTGCTTATGAAATGTGAAAACTAATAACATTTACAATGGCATCAGCTCCTCTCGATACATGGCAACATCTTAGAAACCTTGAACTTCACCTTGCAACACCAAAAGGGCTTAATAACCCTGCTTTTCCCATTGCACTTTACGAAACAGGTTGCAGAACTAGGAAAAGGGCACATTATTAAAAGGACTAACTGTACAGAAATGGTTTTAGAAAAGTCATAGCTCAAAATTGCCTTTTGTAAAATTCACACACATTTACAAGTATCAAGTTGCTGTCCAGCTCGTTTACTTGGATTTTCTCCGCTTGGATTGCACCGCACTGGTTACGTCTTTAGTAGAGCTGGAGGCTGAAGCAGGCCGAGAGGATCGTTTACGATGTCCGTTTTCCACACTTTCAGAAGCCACACTTGGCTCTTCAGTTTGGGAGTTTCTTTGGCTAGGGGTTTTGGATTTTTCAACTGTCTCTTTGGGCTCACTTTGTCCAGAGACTATGGTGGCATTCACCTCAAGTTCTGGTCTAGCAACAGACCCCTGCAGTGCTGTAGCTGGAGTTTCCTTAGAGACTAAACTCTGGGAAGAGGCTATGCTGGGCAGAAGCTCTGGATGGGATCCCACCTTCTCCACTAGGCCACCCGCAAGTGGCTCAGATGTTATGCCACCATGATTGTTTTTTGTGGTCGGCGCCGTGGAGATGAGTTCAGAGGGTACCAGAGTAGTTACTATTGAACGTACACTGGTGGGGAGAGCACTGCCCGGTAAGTTGGGTCCTGCTGAGCTGGCGCCCGGGCCTACAGGGCTAGAGGTCATTTTTAGCAGAGTGGGTGCTGGGGGTGTTAGAGTTTTACTGTCCAGATCTGTGGATAACTGCTCTGTTCTCATGAGCCCTGGAGCTGTCGTCTCTAGCCCTTGACCTTCAGTCTCTCCATCTGCACCATATTGTTCTTCCCCTTATTTTATTAATTTTAATGAACGCTTACAGAGATTTTGGATTTCCATTCATTCATTGTTGCGCTTTTCTCCCTGCCCTCCCTCCCCCAGTTCACTCCTCTTTGAAAAGTAAAAGAAAAATTCTTTCATTGGTATACAATCCCCCCCAACACCCTCCCCCTCCCCCGAGTACATTCCACTATGCAACCTTAATTC